AATCCTAAGCAGGGGGAGATATACCCTGCTGACCCAGGAATGAACTAAGCTGAGAGAAGCCAACTGGAAATGCAATCCTGGTGCTACAACTGGAACAGCTAAATTCTCAGTGCCAAAGCTGGAACCCGCACCTCTGGAAACCACGGCTTGAATTTCCTGCCACTGCTGCTACATCTGAATTGGCACAGCAGGTATAGAGATGCAAAAGCTCTGAGAGTGTGACTGAGAAAACTGAATTGAGAGCAGAGCTGGCAGGGAGCCCTGCATCAACCTGCTTTGAGTGAGAGGAACAGGTACTCTTCCATAGACTAAGAGGCTCCAACAGAAGACATTCTGGGACTGGGCAGACTGGCCAGAAGAGGACACTGCAGTGACTTCAGTCACATATTCCTCTCTCAAGCAGGATTGGTGGGGAGCACTTGACCTGGGTGATGCTGTGGACTAAGACCCAGTAGGCTAGCCCAAACCAGAGCCCTGCACCTGGCAGTGCACCCTAGCAGTGAAGTCTTCAGCAGGTTGACTGACCTGGAGGGGTGGGCCAAGAAAGAATAGGCTGCCCAGATCTGCGTTTCCCTAGTACACTGCAGTGGGTGGGAACACCTAGCTGGCGTGATTCAAACAAACTGTAACCGACAAAGAAAGAAACTGGGCCTCCTACATATGCTTGTATGGAAGGAACAAAAAGTATGGGAAGAGGGAGCAACAAGAAATGGTCCTCAGTCCCCAATTCTGAGAATACTGATCCAGGAAAGGTAAATGCAAAGGTGAATGAGGACAGAAAACATGCAATATCAAGCACAGCACCAGTAGACATAAAGTGATATCTCCAGGTCCTCATAGACGAGTTCAAAAGTGAAGTATTTAACCAAGTAAAGCAAGATATAAGTAGAATAGTTAAAGAAATGCTGAGCACCTCCCAAGAAAAAACAGATGACAGAATGGAAGAACAGAAAAAAAAGGGGGAGAATTGTTTGATGGAGAAAATAGAGAAAATGTAGAATACATGAAGCAGGTTCAAAGAGATTACCAGGAAACTAAAAACTCTATTGAAAGCTGGCATAATAGCTTGAAAGGAACTAAGGATAGATTATCTGAACTGGAACAGATTTGTAATGTGGAAGCATGAAAGGAAAAACTTCTTAAAAATAACAAGGAAACAAGCAGTAACAATACAAGGGCTAGAAGATCATAAGAGGATCTATAACTTAAGAATTAAGAATGTAAAGGAAGAAGTAGGGATACAAACAAATGAACTGCAAAGGCTATTCACAGAAATAATCGAAGAGAAATTTCCTATTATGGGAAAAGGTAAAGATACTCAGATGTATGAGACATACAGGACCCCAGCCACCTACAAGCCAAACATAACTACACCCAGGCATATAATAATCAAAATTCTAGAAATCCAATATAAGAACAGAAAATTAAAAGCTGTCAGAGACAAGAAACAGAGCACTTACAAGGGAACACCCATCAGAATTACAGCAGACTTCTTGGCACAACCATCAAATCATGAAGAGTGTGGGGGGAAATAATTCAAGCTTTGAAAGACAATAACCTCCAGCCAAGATTGATATATCCTGCACAACTGTCCCTAGAAATTAATGGAGAAACAAGGTACTTCCAGTATAAAGAGGAACTAGGGGAATTTGCAACCACCAATTCAACTCTACAGAGAATACTGCAGGACATTCTAAAAGAGAAAAATACCCAGATTCCAGAAACAGTGGCAGAGAGGCCACAAAGAATGGAGCAGAAAGTGAAATGAAGAAGACAAACTGACAACTAATGACAGAAAAAAGAGCTCAACAGAAATGAGGCAGAGAAGGTTGGATGGTATGAACAGCTATTTTGGAGAAAACAAGACATCATAATAGCTAGTGCTGATTTAATATCATCTTGTTTTGAAGTCCCATCAAGCTTTTGTTCTTCTGTCTCCATCAGTCTTAACATGTATCTTACTGGATTTTATTATATGTGATAATATAAACAAAAACTTTTATATACAAAAGGTTAATACAGAAACCACTATTCATTTTCTGTTACTTGGTTCTAAATATCCTCTAATACTGTGATTCTCTTGAATGGTTTTCCATTGTCTTGATATGTTTGATGCTATAGTATGCGAAGTTATACTCAAAGATTTCAAGGAAAGAGACACTATGGAACTACTTTTATGTCGGGATGTCTTGTGTTGAAACACTGTTTTGTTTAAATGGCTATGTTCTGACCTGTGCTGTTATGTTCTCTTTTATCTCAATCTCCTTTCTTTTTTTATTTTTTATCTTTTTAATTAAGGGAAAAAAAATAAAAATAGCAGAATATATTATTGTAACCCACTTTGATTTCCTAATAACTTGATTTGAAACCCCGTATTGCTCTCACCATTGTGTTTTGACTGATTTTACTCTATTCTGTTTTGCTTGATAGTACCAAGTTTGAGAGGATAGGCAACAACTGTGAAGACAATAAGATTCACTATGATGCCCATTCTGGTTTGACTTCTTTTGAAGTCCTGTAATGTCTCCAATGTTTTGGTTTTATTGGTTTTGTTCAATTTTATTATAACTGATGATAGAGGCAATTCTTTTTAAGATATCAAGAGGCATTATGGTAACCATTGTTGATCACCTTGTATTCTGTTTTTACATTATGTACTATGTCCATCCTTTGATTTGACTGACTCTGTTTTGTTATGTGACATTTGGTTTTATTCTCTTCAAAAAAAGTAATAAGAACTGTGGGAGTAATAAAACCCAAAATGTGTAATTGTCATTGTAAAAAAGAGAGGAAAGGAAAGTGCTCTAAAGGATATAACTGCGTATATATTTAAGTGTATAAGATAGATAACCATATTACTGAGTTTTTGTTGGATCATTGAACACAACTGTTTGCAGTCTCACTGTTTGAATGTCCACTTTATATGCTTTAATTTTATAACTTGAACAACTATTTCTAAGATGACAATATGTAATCTATTAACTACTGATTTCCTACTGTTTATCTTTTTTGAAATTCTGTATAATTTGTACCCTTTTCCTGTTTTTTTTCCTTTTATCCTTATATAAAATTTTAAAAAAAGAAATGGGTGAAAGTCCTTGCCACCTATTCTACTGAGAGAGGATTAATATCTATAATATATACAGATCTAAAATAACCATTATCACTAAAAACCTGAATAACCCAATCAATAAATATACCAATGAATTGGGCAGATACTCCTTAAAAGAAGTAGAAATGGCCAGGAGGTTAATCAAAAACATTCAGCATCTTTAGATATCAGGGAAATGCAAATTATAATTACAGTGATATTCCAAATCACCCCAGTCATAATAGATATCACCAAAAATACAAATAATAAATTCTGATGGGGGTTTGGGGGAAAGGAGCCCTTCTACATTTCTAGTCACAATGTAAATTAGTACAGCCTTTATGGAAATTGATATAGAGGTTCTCCCAAATAGCAAAAATAGGGCCATGGTTTTATACAGTTGTACCATTCTTTGGTGTTTAATTGATGGAATTAAATTTAATTGATGGAATTAAATTGTCCTATAGGGATGCCAACATACTCATATTTATTATAGTAGGATTGATAATAGCAAGCCAATCAATAGATGAATGGAAGAACAAAATGTATATACACCATTGTATATATTTTTTTATTTTATTTTATTTAAGAGGAAAAAGAGAAAAACACAAAACAAAACAAAGCAGTGTAAGGGTACATGTAATACAGAACTACAAAAAAAAACATAACAGTAAGAAATCACCTGTTAATAGATTACATATTATCATCTTGAAAATAGTTGCTCAAATCACAGTATCAAAGCATACAAAGTGGACATTCAAACAGGGAGACTGCAAACAGCTGTGTTCAATGATCCAAAAACATTGATATAGTCAGCTATTTAACACCTCTTTTTATTTTTTTTCCCCTCTCTTTTTTACAACAAAATTTACACATTTTGGATTTTATTACTCCTTAGTGCTTATTACTTTTTGCGGGGGGGAGAGAATACAGTCAAATATGGCAAAACAAAGCTGTCAGTCAAAACTAAGGATAGACATAGCACATGGTGTAGAACAGAGTACAAGGTTATCAACAATTACACCATTGTATATTGTTCATCTGTTTTAAGAAAATAGATGGAATTGGAGACTGCCACATGGAGTGAAACAAGCCAGACCCAGAAAGACAAAATCACATGTTCTATCTAATATATGAAACCCAAAACAGAAATTATGAAGGAAGACAGTGTCAGTCATGAGCTGGGAGGAGAACCAAGAAGCCAACCCCTTCCCATGAGCCAACTGGCAGGCATGCTAGGAGACAAGAAGAGCCCCCAGCCCTGGTAAGCAACAGGCAGATTCAGAGGAAAACAGGCTGAGATGATAGCCATTGAGGGAAAAAAACAATGCAATGCTTATACTGTTTTTGATAGATTTTGCAGGCCTAAAGCCAGTAATCTGATGATCTATTTAGAGGATAACAATATGAAATACAGCAAGTATGGGGGATTTCTTTCTGTCTTGTTATTGAAATCCAACACTGTTTTGTTTTATTCCATGCTATTGTTGTTATTCCCTTTAAAATAAAAAATAAACAAAAAGAAAGTATAAAGGAGACTATTATTAGAGAAGAGGAATGGAATGAAAGAGAAGGGAGAGAAGTATAAAGGGTAGTGTTGGAAAAATGCATGTGATCAAAATTACTGCACTGAACCAAATATTTCATACAATTAGTAGGCCTTAATAATAAAAGGAGAAAATCCTTAATACTAACAATGTTCTCTCTCTCTCTGTCTCTCTCTCTCTCTGTCTGTCTGTCTCTCTCTCTCTCTCTTCCTTCCTCCCTCTCTCTGATTTAACACATTTCTGAAACTAGGTTATCAAAATATGATCAGATACATAATAAATTTTGCTTTGCATGTGAGAACTACGATAGCTATTGTTAGATTTTTCACTTGGAAGGAATCACTGAGTTATGCACACCCTAATCATGAGATTTTGGTAATTTCCACTCTACAGAAAATGTGGCAGAGGGCAAATTTCATGTCCTTGTTGCGGAGGCTGTAGATGAAAGGGTTTAAGGCTGGGGTCACCACGGAGTACATCAGTGTGATGATCTTATGCATAGCAACTGAGTTGCCAGATGTCGGACTAATGTACATCACCATTATGGATCCGTAGAAGAGAGACACCACAACCAAGTGTGATCCACAGGTGGAGAAGGCCTTTTGCCGTCCTGCTGAAGAAGGAACCTGAAGCACAGCTCTGAGCACCAGAACATAAGATCCAAGGATGAACAAACTAGTGATAATGATGAACGCAGAGCTCAAAGAATAGAATACATTTTTTATGATGGGTGCAGGAGCACAAGACAATGCCATCAGTGGGTCCACATCACACAGAAAGTGGTCAATGATGTTGGGACCACAGAAAGGTAGTTGAGAAATAAAGAAAATCGGGATTGTGTATCCAAGGAAACCAACAAGCCAACAAAGACACACTAAGATACTACAGAGCTGGCTGGTCATGATTGAGGGGTAGTGCAGTGGATGGCAGATGGCCAGGTAGCGATCATAAGCCATGACAGAGAGGAAGATAGATTCTGTCGTGCCCAAGGAAAAGAAGAAGTAAAATTGAATGAAGCAGCCAGTGAAGGATATTGTCTTAGTTTGGGAAAGAAAGTTGCCCAGCATGTTGGGGACTGTGCATGTCACATACCAGATTTCTAGGAAGGAGAAGTTGGCCAGGAGCACATACATAGGAGTGTGGAGTCGGCGGTCCCATCTCACTGCACAGATGATAGCCATGTTCCCAGTCAGAGTTAATGTGTAGACAAACAAAATGATTGAGAAAAGGATGATCTGTACATTCCAGGGGCCAGCAAAGCCCAACAGGACAAAGTGAGTCACTGTAGATATCCCTGACTTGTTCATGGTCCCCAGACTGTGGAGAAAAGAAAAGTGGATGATAACAATTAGCTTTACTGTTGAAGCGTGTTGAAGTTTTTCTTGGACAAAGAATTTGGCTGCTATAGGATCATCTGAAAGAAGTTTGAACAAATCCTGCTGAATTCTGCATAAGCTTTTTTCCACTTTCCCAGGATTTTGCCCATTCTAGAGTGTTTTTCCTTTTATGAGAGAGGACAACAATGAACTCAGTGTTGAATTCTTGACCAGCAGGTACGAGGCTATGAGTTTGATTCTGAGCACTGATAAAACAAAACAAAACAAAATACCAGTGAAATTACAAAAATCTCAAAATTATGTAAAAATACTTTTTAGACCCAGGTTGTTTTTCAGTGAAAGTAGCTCACATAAAACAGTTACTTTATGCTATTTATTTCAAAACAGGAAGAAATGTATGCCATCATCCTCAGGGGTTTAGAATAGAATGGTTAATTGGAATGGCTTCTGTTATCATGTTATTCACATTCTTTCTGGTGATACTTTTGTTACATTACATTTTCCATCGCTTTTAATAATATTAGAAAAATACCAACAAGGATATTCGAGTGATAATTTTTTATGTATTTTACTTTTTCCTAACTGCTTTTATATTGCACTATAGCTCATTCATAATTTGATAATTAATTCTATGTTCTTAGCAATGAAGTATCAGTTTTTTCACTCCCCAGGGATTAATTTTACATGATAATTTATCATGTTTCACATGTATTTAAATAGTGGTGCTTCTCTAAAGAGGGATATCATATTTTGGAGATGAAATGAATGATCATCAAGAATTTTCTTCTCCGTCTCTTTTGACTATGCTGCCAGAGTTTTTCATACTCTTTGAGGATATTTCTTTAGTTAGCTGAAAATTCTGCTCAACATTTAAAATCACAAGTATTCCCCTTTTACAATTCTTCCCCAAAGAGTTAAACACATCAAATTATGGTTATATTTGCTAATCCATGTTTACAGGAGCACAATTCATAATAGTTAGATCCTAGCTGCAGCCTATATGCCCACCAACAGATAAATGGATAAAGAAAATGTGTATTTACACATGACGGATCACTGCTTTACCATAGAGGATAAATTTAAGTCATTTGTAGAAAAATGGGTACACCTGAAACCATAAGATTAACTTAATATTTACTTGTGAATGAGGCACACAAATTTAAATATTGCAAGGTTTTTTTTACAAGAAAGTGAAATTATAGATAAGGAGCAAATAAAAGAAATCATGAGAAGTACATAAATAGAACATTCTTAAAGAGAAACAGAATAAAGAGATGGAGGGGAAAGAAAGGGAGGGGATAAAAAAGAACTAAGATGCATTATACACATGTACCAACTGCACACAATGAATGTAAACATTGTATACTGAAAAGCATAGTAATAGAAATAAATAAATGGAAAAAATCACAAGCCACAAGAAAATCAAAGATGGTTCAAAAATATTAGACACCAATTTCAAAATTTGGTTTTTAAAATTTAGAATACCATCATGAAGAGATGGTTTTTAAAGACTCAAGTGCAATTCAGAGAATCACACTAATAAATAAAATATACAAGATACTTTTAATCTCTTTAAAAATCTTTTTTGATAAGGAGATTATTTGCTTTTCACATGTCTTTGATAGAAATGATATTTTTTTCATTCATTGAACATAATATAAAATTATATTGAGATTTTATTACGTAAGATAAATATATTTATTATCATGTAGTTTTTGAAGGCTCAATAAATTATAATCCATGAAGTGAACTATGACTTAACTCATTCAGAAACAATGTAACTGACTTTGAAACTGATTATGTCAGAACAGGTTGTAATCTGCCTGACAAGCAACCATGAAAAAAAGATAACTGAAAAATGAAGGTTAATATGTTTTACTTTTAAAACTGTGATGATGATAAGAACTAAACTAACCCATGTTGAAGGTCATTTTCTTGAGACATCATGAACAAATGGTCCCTCACCAAGGAGTATTGCACGTTCTCCATCTTCTCAGACAAGAAACCTTTCTTCCAAACAAGGTGAGAACAGAGAGGAGCCACTTGCCCTTGGAGCACAGTTTAGAAATGATTCTAAACTTACATGATTCCAAAACATACTACACACATGTACTAATAATCTGAAACAAAAAACTTAAAAGTTATAAAATAAAATGCATACAATAGAGCTTTAATTTTTGAAACGTAAACTACTTTTTTGATATTAAAAATAGCAAACAAATTCAGAAAACCTTTAGTTTCAGGGGAACATGGTAAATGAATGCCATGGAAAATGTCTGAATAATTGTAAGAAACAGTTCCTAAAACAGTCACCATTAAGCTCTATGGAAATCTTCGTCTTCATATACACTGATGTGATTCTATATGACTTCCTTTTGTTTGTCATTTTTCCTATAGGGCAGGTGAATAGTAGAATGGATAAATAGGGTAAACTGAGAGAAGACCAAATGAAATAAATAACCAAAGCCAAAGCAATCAATCAAACAAACAAGAAAACATCAATTTTGTATTTGTTTCAATCTCTGCAGATAGAGTTACTTGCACATTATTTAACTTAAATTCTCTACAAAATTATAACAATTCTGGTACCTCAGCAAGTTCCTGAGAGGGGGCAAGAGCTGTTCATGGCTTTGATAACACTTAGTGCATTAATTTGGAGCATGTGAATTCCATAGTCATCTAAACACTCAGGAATTTCGGTTTTCTCTTGGTTATAAGCTTTAAGAAAAAATGATACTCTTTGATCCTTAGTCTCTTGGACATACTAAATGAATAAGTGTAGAGGTGAGCAGGTCCACCTGTCATGTATAATGATAGCAGTGCCCATCAGAGAAGACATCGGTCACACCATGAAGCCTTCCTAGGTCATCCTGGAGGGAGTGCAGATGGAGGTCACAAAGACCTCTTCCCAGTCCTACGATGGAGACTGTGTGAAAGCTTTGTGCACAGCTAATTTCACTTCTCTTGCACCCTAAGAGTCTAACGGTCTGTTTCTGATTGTGTGGAGTCAATGTGTCAGTCCAGTTTATGCCCTGTGTCAGGCTTTCTTGAGAAGTATCAGGTCTCGCTTGAAGTGAACCTGTGATTTTCCATGCTGTCCTTAGGGATTTTTCCTTTTTTCCTGGAGATTTCAATGATAATTTTGATAAATTGATCTATAGGGATTATTAAAAATAATATTCAATACTAACTGAGCTTGGGTTGGGCATGTTCTCCTTAATGTTTTCCAACCACGGTATATGATTTTGTGCAATGGATACATAGAGCCTCTGATTAAATGTCTTCCTAAGGGCCAATTTTCCTTAGATTACTTCATATTCTATGAATTAGAAAGTACAATTTTATATCTTTTAAAATGTAAAGCCTTGAAATAAAAAGAAATATCTTCAAGTTCCTTATGCTTCTTGCTACCGTTTTTAAAAATGCTTTGGTGGAAATGTGCTGAAGCATTTCAGCACTTATCACCACTCTTCTCTTCCTCAGACCCCTAATAATGTCAGGCATTGTCACAACTAAGCAGATGTGTTTCTTATCTGAGCAGGGTGGAGCTTCACAACATGACCTTTCTTCTTCAGCATTGATTGAGAGTGCAAAAATGAAATTCATTTTTGGTATAATTTTGCCTGTTACTTTTCTGACTATTTGCCTTTTAGCCTCTCAGAAGTACATGTCGCTCTCAGGTTGTTGTGGAAACTGCAGCACACATACAAAAAGATATTTGGCATTTTTGTTCTGTACTATGTGTACTATTGTGGCAGTCACACCGATTTTCAGAGGAAGCATGAGTAAAGAGTCCACTGGGAGTAAATGTATTGGAGGCAAAATTAGAAGATGTGTCCTCATGAGGTGCAATGTTTACACACTGGTTCATTAGGAGAAAAGACTACATGGATATTTGAAGAAGAAAGAAGATTTTTACTTTAAGAGATACAAGTATGGCACATAAAGGTACTGGCACATAAAAGCACAATCTGATTTTGTAGTGAAAGGCAATCTCAAGTTCAGAAGGCATTCATTGATGGAGTTTTTTTTTAATCATTTTGCCTTTTGATCCATTATCTGTAAGAATCTTTATTTTTTAATTTAACAGATTGCATTCTTTTCAAAGGTTTTAATGCACCAATGCATTGAAGGCACAAATGCATTTGATTCCCTCCACTAGTTAAGGTTAAAACTTTAACAAATACATATAGTAAAGTGCTATACATGTATATGTATACATTGGTATATACACATATTTGCTGATTTTATAATATCAATATCAATAAATGATATAGCAATATCACATGATTACTTCATTAATTCTGCATCTTTAAAATATCTTATTGAGAATTTATTATCAGTGAGCAAAGTTGAACTGCTAAAAGACTATGAAACACAGGTTTCACCTTCTACCTAGGTGAGATCCAGAATACACTTACTGAAGCCCTTCTTCATTGTTGTTAGAAAGAACTAAAGTCACAAGTAACCTGCTGAGGCAAAATAATGCACTCTCTAAGGGCCACCTTCTGCTGCGACACCTTGGTTCCATCAGACACTGGGACACGTGAAACTCTGTGCTGCGCAAGCTGTAGCATAGCAACGGCACCCGGACATGCTCCTGCTGAGTCAAAGGCTGCAGGAAAGGCATGTTGCCAGTGTTCTCATTTGGACCCCTGGAGGAGGGTGCCTGAAACACCTGGCATGATAGACCACAATCCAACCACTACAGCAATGGCAGGTGGATTGTATTGGGCCTCTGTCTCTCTCGCAGGGACATAGATATGCTTTGACTGCTGTCGATACAATCACAGGTATAGGTTTTGCCTACTCTGTGCCCTCTGCTGACCAAGATCACACCATTAAGGCTTTACAGTGGTTGGCTGCTGCATATGGGATGCTGCTAGGTATAGCATCTGACAGAGGAGCTCATTTTACAGGGATCCAGATACAAAAATTGCCACAGAGAATGATGTTGCACGGCATTTTCATGTGCCCTACTGGCCACAGGCTGCTGA